TACCCACCTCGTCACCGAGAGCGAGATTGAAATGCGCCACCTACCCGTGATCTCAATATGTGGTTATGTGGGCGGTAGACAGATTTTAGCGTCATGCGCGTAAGAGTGGGCGTGGCAAACTTTTTTTGGATCAATCGATAGGTATTGACGAGACCAATACATTTAAGTTAAAATTTTGTATCTGGCATGAAAATTATGGGCGCCACAGGTTTGGTCGGCTTGTGGGCGTGGGAAATTTTTTTTTTGGTTCAATCGATAGGTATTGATGAAACCAATACATATAAGTTAAAATTTTGTACCTGGCATGAAAATTGTGGGCGCCACAGATTTGGTCGGTTTGTGGACATTAGAGTGGGCGTGGCATATTCGCGTAACAAACTTGCGCTGCGAACAAGGCTACGGAATCCAAATCTGAGATCCCATTTCTCCATCTTTAATAATTTTCGAGATATCCGCGTTCATATTTACGATTTTTTTAAGTTTGTGGACATTAAAGTGGCAAACTTTTTTTGGGTCAATCGATAGGTATTGATAGGAGCAATACATTTCAGTTAAAATTTGTATTCTTGCATCAAAACTGTAGGAGCCACAGTTTCGGGCGGCTTGTGGGCGTGGCACATTGCTGAAACAAACTTGCGCTGCGCAGGAATCTCAAGAATCTGCATGCCTAATCCCAGTATTGTAGCTTGTATAGTTTCCGAGATCTCAGCGTTCATACGGACAGACGGACATGGCTAGATCGACTCGATCCTTTTACTCTACGAGTAACGGGTATAAAAATAGAAGTGCATTTTGCGAAAGTCTATTCAACACATGATTTCAGCAAATTCTGATGAAATATTTAAACTCGATTTTTTTTAAACGTTCCCAAAAAATACCACTCTGAAATAGATTTAGATTGACCCAGATATTGCTACTTATTTAAAATTTAGTTTTAAGCGTTTTTCTTCTGAACATGTCGCTCAGGACATTTTTCTTACCGTTTTGGTAAGTTGTTTTCTTTGACCTTGGACTCCAATTAATGCTTGTTTTTACTCTAATTAAATAGTTCAACAAAATAATATCCAGAAAAAGATCATATAGCAATATGTTTCAGATAAGTTTACACCTTTTTGGTTTACCCATATGTATTTAAATAAAAGAAAAAGCAATCCAATAGTGAATAAGGGTTTTTATTAGTATACGGTCATACTTAACCTGCGCCAGAGCTGGACAGCATAAAATGGAGTCCGTAAGGTGTGTTCAAAGCTGAATAGGAAAAAGCTGGGTGTCTTAGTGAAGTTTAAAATTATAAATAGCACATCTTGGAACCGCCTTGACACATCATTCCTATCACAGAATCTGCAGCAAAAAATTTAAAACAGAATTTTTTTGGTCACTTTGTGGTTGCGTATTATATTAATTCATAGAATGCATGCGAGTCTCGGTTTTCTGTTTTGATTTTTATGTGAAGACTAGCCTTTAAGTGCCAGTCCATAACTCAGTCAATCCTTATAAAATATATTCTTTGATCAACTTATAAGCTCGCCCATCGCCGACTCGAAGCGGTATTGCTTTTGCTTTCGGTAGTCAATGTTTAAAGTTAGTGGCCCTTTTGCTTAAATACTTTTTTTTTCATTTTTATTACATATAAAACAAGAAAGGAAGTTAACTTCGGCAAGCCGATGTTTTTATACCCTTGCCGTTATAATTATTAAATTTAAAAATACAAAATATTATATTCCCAATAGTATAAGATAATGTGTCAAAAAACACCGAAGCTATAATTTGTTTCATATTATTTTCCCACCAATTTGCCGATCGTTCCGATGGCAGCTATATGATATAGTCGTTCGATTTTGATAAAATTTAATTCGGAATTCAAAACTAATTAAAAAATGTTATTTCCAAGCATAGGAGGTTATGTATATGTTAAAAACACCAAAGATATAATTAAAAAAATTTTTTTTCCGATTATTCCTATGGTAACTATAAGATTTAGTTGTCCGATCCGGCTGGTTCCGACTTATAAACTACCTGCGAAAGAAAGAAGACTTTTGGGAACGTTTCAGCCCGATAGCTTTAAAACTGAGAGACTAGTTTGCGTACAAACGGACGGACAGATCAAGAATATATTCTTTATGGGGTCGGAAACGTCTCCTTCACTTCGTTGCAAACTTCTGACTGACATCAACATACCTTCTGCAAGGGTATAATAAATGAATGTGAATCAACGGATGTTTTTGTTTATTAAATTAATACTTTAAAGCTTCCTTCTCGTCCCTTCTATCTATAGAAGCCAGCGCGTCCTCCAGCTCTGCTTTAGTGCAGTCCAGCGGTTCCACTCAATGGAGAGTTCGTCGTAGTTCGTATTAATGGTGGTTCTGCTAAAAATATACTTTTATTAGTACAACATAACCAAATTCTTTTGGCCAGACCCTACTTTCGATGTGTCAGGTAGAATGACCATGTAGGGAGCGAAGTACCACTCAGCATGCTCTTTCCCAATGGGCTTCTCGATTGGATTACCTCAAGCATTTCCATTCATCTTCGGATGTGCCCTGTTGTAGTATTGCTTTCTGTGGGTCAAGTCTCACAATACTACGCCACAGCTTGGATTATACATACTTTTTTATCTGCACTCACCTCCTGCATGCATTTTTGGGTTTTTCCTTCCATTTTTTATTTTTTGATTCCACACCGCTTCTGCACGAAACACACCGAAAGTTTAAATTTCTTATACTTCGCGCGGCGGCTAACGGCGTTCATCGGAATTTAATCCCGATCTCTGGTAATATATCTGGAATTTTCTTAGCTAATCTGGGTACTGGGATGAAAAACGGACCTATTTGCCTGTCTGCCTCTCTCTCTCCTATGGCTATCTCGCGGATTTTATCGATGTACTCGTAAGTACTAGGCTTAACAAGAGTACTTGCTTAAAAAGCAATGCCAGTGCTACACTGCATTTACACGCAACGTTTAAGAGCAGGGCACAGACATCCCAAAAAAATAAGCAGTGTAAGGACCCTCACTCAAAAATGTACTCTTTTGCTTTTATGCACTTTCGAACATACTTGGTGCTTTCATTAGCTCTTAAAAAAAAAGACAATCCGAAAATTGAACAAAAATAATTCAAACCTTGCAGTTTCTTTTAGTTTATTCTTTTTGCATGCACAATATATGTATATGCGATGTTGAAAGGATTGTGGAATTTTTATAATAAATGCCAAATTGGTTCGAATAAAAATATGTGATCAATGGAAAACGAGAGTCCCCCAGTGGCGGAATAGGGTTGCTGGCGCCCGGGGCAAAGCGAAAAATTCCGCCCCCTCCCTATTTGCTGTACGAATAACATTAGGAGTATTTAAAGTGTAAATAGGTGATTAATTATTAAAAGCTTATATGTTTGAAGAATTGTATTTCATATCGATTCTTTTGTCAGTTACAACGGAAAAAACATTATTATTTGTATTTTTGCAAGACAAAAAAATATTACTTTTAGAATATAACTTTTCTGGCCTTGATTGCCGCAAATTCAGCAATAATATCATTGTAGTCGAGTGATGCTGCTACTTCATTTTCGATAGGAAAATATGAATTCTCGAAACATATATTGCTAGTCGGACTCGATTTAGCGCCTCTTAGATTTGGCGCCCGGGGCGCTTGCCCCTTTCGCCCCCCCTAGATCCGCCACTGGAGTCCCCAAAGGAAAATAACGGTGTCTAGAACGTTCCACGATGAAAACAGTTTTATCGACCTCTGCCTATCCTTTTTTTAAAGATAACATCCATAAAGATTGTGTCCTACTGATATTAAAAGCTTTTGCTTATTCGATAATTTTCCCGGAAGAAATCTTTCCATTTTCAGGAACATCCATCTCCCAACATTGGCAAAATGGTTGCTTAAATGAATGTTTTTTAAATAATTTTAAGGATCCAGACTTATCTATTTTGTCGCAATTTGAAGAGCGTTATTTTTCCTAGGATATTGTGGGCTCTCTATAGTTCGAATTTAATTTTAACAACGCTTGTCTAAATGAAACACCTTCGTTACCAATTTGCCAAAACTCAATAAGCATGTTCTTCTTTCTCTTCTTTGAATGATATTTTTCTGAAACTGCGGGGTCTATGTACATACATACATATGTATATGTATGAACAACCCGCTTAAAATGGAATAGCGACTGTGTGCAGAAAGTATCAGTTGTATGTATGTTTATGCATATGTACATACAAATGAGCGACTCATTTTGAAGAAAAAAAAGGATTTTCAAAAAAATTTAAATCACATTACGTATTGGAAGTGCTAGTAAACATAAAAAACAGCTGTTTCCGTACATATACATATGTAACTACTTATGTTTGTATGTACATACATACAACTATCACTGCACAAAATCATCACCAAGTCGGCTGCTACGACTTGCTTCCCTGTTTGCTCGCAATACATGGTAACAGTAAAAACGTCACAATTTTTCTAACAATTGATTATTAGACATGATTATGATTAATAGCCAAAAATGCGATGAACGGCACTGCAGTTATCGTATGTGTGTAACTATTTACATACAAAGAAATAAATGCGCTTGAAGATAATATAAATGTATGTAGATACTTATGTATGTATGTACATACATACATAGGTGCAGGAATAAATCGCAATACTAACCAAATTCAAAACTTTTAAAATATACCTCACATATATCAACAGTATATAAAGTCGTAAAATCACGTATCTAAGTACTTTAAACAAAATTTGGAACAAACTATTATATGCACTTATTCACTTAGGCAAAACACTTGTAGTTCGCAGTTTATTAAAAAACTTTTAGTTCACCAAAACCAAAACGCACATAACATACATTGTTGGCTAAGCTTTAAATATAAGGTGAATTAAAAGTTTTCAATGCTAGCTTTTAAAGCTTTGAACAAAAGAAAAGCCTCACGGAATGTCACCTATACACCTCACTTATGCAAACATCGATTCCTATGATACTATCATGTTTTTAACCGATGTATCGACTCGAACATCGATGTTATCACTAAGAGATACACACGCAAAGCAAGTGGTACGTAAATTGGGAAAAAGTGCACATTTTTCCATTTTATTAAGTATTGTTACAGTTTGATACAGGTAAAACATATTAGGGCGGTTCCTCTCGGCACAATGGACAGGTTTCTGCACATAACAAGTAAGTTCCAGTCGCAGCAGTTGTTATTTCATAATTTTAACACTGTATTGCGTTTTAGACCACGTGTCTGCTGCTTATTTGTTTCTGAAAATATTGTTGTTGTTTTGTTTGAATAAATATAAGTTTATAATAAGTTTCATAAAAACAATATTTTAATTAATATTTGGAGGGTTTTATGGTATATATTCATAAATTGAAGAAAATTTCGATGTTTTTAGCGAAATTTCGAGGTTTTAGCAAAATTTCGATGTTTTCGCGAAATTTCGATGTTTTAGCGATATATCGATGCTTACAAACATCGATGTTGAAAACATCGATGTACTCACTATCGATGTTTGCATCCTACCTCCACTTTTTAAAATCACTACCCTGAAGTTCCACAATTCAACATACATAGTATGTACATAAGCTCCAAGTCATCACAAACTGTGACGTCGGCGGAGCAGCTAGCGACGCCGTTAGAGCCGAACGCAACGACGACGAAGCAGTCGTGTGCCCGACTGCGAGGGCACACCGAAGAGAACGCACAAAAAGTATTTTTTCATCTCCCCCTCTCTCGACATTTCTATACTGAAAAAATGCTGGTGAAGGCAAAGATGCCCAGCAGTTAAAATAGCTAAACTTTTGTGCACCTTTGCGTTTTAAGTGATGCGCCCCTTTTTTCGTAAATATAAGTACAACCAATTAAAATATTTTATAATATTAGGTAAAGTTTCAAAAAAATATTTTTAAATAACGATTTAGGTAGGACGCTGACAGACCAAAAATTTTTTAATCAGTGAAACTAAAAATTTACCAATGCATATTAACAAAAAGAGAAATACAAAGTTTGCATAAAAATATAAGTCTTCGAAGTAAGAAACAACAGATGGTCCATTTAAATAAATAAATTAATAGTAATATAAACTTGCTAGAAACCAAAAATAAGAGATGTTTGTTGTAATTTTTTGTTTTGTCTCGTTATAATTTAAAAATGTTTGAAGACGTTGCAGAAGTTGATGAGGTGTATAAAACGCATAAATTGCACAAGATGAAGGCAACGCAAACCCATGATGCTGGCAAAGAGGTGCCAACGCCCCCATTACACCAATAACCGCCGAGCCGCAGTTTTTCTTTTCGGTAAACATTTACGGTAGTAAATTAAAATGTAACATTGTCTTAATGTTTCTTTAATTAGTTTTATGTTTTCTAAAAATCGTAAAGTTCTGGACATACAACGCTCCCACTTGAACGACCTGGAGGGGATAGGGTATCTTTGGCTCGCCGAAGGAAGCTTCCTTTCTTGTTAGTTTTAACAACGAACATCTCTTATTTTTGGTCACTAACAAGCTTGAAATCAATCAGCTTTTACGATTTTTTCTAAGATTTATATTACTATTTATTTATTTACTAATCAATCAATCAATCAATAAGCAAAGCAGCATGTCTCCATTTTTCGCAAGCCATATCTGCATCACCGAACACGCTAAACAAATTTTTCAAAAAACCCTTGTGGATATAGTCCCCAAAAGTCAGATTCTTGGCTTTGGTTTATTAAGCCTAGTACTCACATCGACGAAAACTGCGAGCTAACCATAGGTGTGAGCGAGAGGCGGCTAAAGCTTTTCGTCGGGTCTGTTCCTCAGCGCGGTACTCAGATGAGCTAAGGAAATATCAGAAAAATAAAACAAGTTTCGGGAGTGAGTTTTCGCTGAACGCCGTTAGCCGCGGCCCAAAGAATAAGAAATTAAATCTTTGGCGGTGTTCGTGCAGAAGCGGTGGAGAAATTAAAAATGGAAGGAGAACACCAAAAACGACTAAAGGAGGTCGGTGCAGATGACAAAGGACGCCTAGTCCAAGCGGTTGCCCATTATTGTGGGACTTGACCGACAGGAAGCAATACCACAACGGCGCAAATCCGCAGAATAGTTGAAGCGCTGGAGGAGATCCACTAGAGAATCCCAGTGGGAAGGAACATGGGGCATCGCTCGATCTCCGACAAGCTCTCCATTGAGAAATCCACCTCCACCAGCTATTTGACAGCTAAAGCTGAGATGGGGACGCTCCGGCTTCTATAGGGAGGAGAAAATAAGGTCGCCCGCTAAGGAACAGCTGGAGGAGCCATCACCATCCATTGGAGAAGGCCTACAAATGGCGCGGGAAAGTTGGCGAAGCATCCGTGGGACGAAAAGAAAGCCTCAAACTACTAATTTACATAAATGGAAACATTCGTTGAACATTTTACTTATTTTTATTTTTATTTATTTGTGCACCAGCAAACTCTTCTTTCTTAAATTGCTCCAATTGATTTGTCATCCGTTTGGCAACAAGCACAGCTGCCTAACAGTAAGACCATGCCACATGCATTGCGGATTAACTTTGAAAACTTCGATCACACTACAACAAATAACATTTTTCGACTAGTGAAACTCTTAGCCGATCTGAGTACTAGGTTTTAAACGTTTAAAATCGCCACAGCCGTTATACCCCCTTCCCATAGAGTCCATCCGTTCGAAACGGTTGGGATTTTTGACAAATGTGAAACTCCGATTACCACAGGGCACATCTACCATCCGATAACATCTGATCTGAAAAGCTGTGGCTAATCAAACCAAACCTGTTGCTTCTGCGCCTTCCATTTTTAAATGTGAAACTACAGTTCCCACGGAGCACATCCACATCTACAATCCGATAGCAGCAGATCTGTTAATTCGATACAAGCCTGCGCCTTCAATTTTCGATTTTTCTCTGTAAACATTGTTTACGTTTTTGCAGTGAATGTTTCAATTTCCACTGTCAAGAAGAACAGCTCAGAGTTGCACCGAACAACCATCGCCTTACTATCGCATAAAGACTTCGTCAAATTTGTATGGGGAATAAACTTGGAAATTTTCGGGACGGCAAAACCTTTTGGACCATCCGTTCAACGTACGGTAGATGGTGGATTGATCTCTGTGGGAAGACGCTATTAGCCCGAAAAATTTTTAAGCGACACCATTCAAAAGGAATTAAATGCAACTTTCCGAAAACATAAAAGCATAACATAACATAACATACTAGGCTTAAGCCCAGTACTCATATCGGCTAAGAGTTTCAGGAGCCGAACATTTTTATTCTGTGTAGTGTGACCGATGCCTTCAAAGTTCACCTGCAATGCATTTAGCATGGTCTTACTGTCAAGCAGATGGGTTTTTTGGCAGACGAAAAACAAATCAATTGGAGCAATTTAAAAAAGAAGAGTCTGCGGACCATGAGAAAGTGGCAGCCGGATTGGGAACGGGGTTGCTCCCCATGATGCTGCATGAAGTCGCCCAGCATCCTGGTGAGGGCTGGTAATGGCTTCTCTAGTTAACCCTTAGTTGGCGCCCTTTTTTCCTCCTCCGTATAGAAGCCAGCGCGTCCTCCATCTCCGTTTTAACTGCCAAATAGTTGGTGGAGGTGGAGTCCTGTGGTTCTCCAATGGCGAGCTCGTCGGAGATCGTATAAGTGGTGATTCTGCTAAGAAGACACCTCTATTAGTACAACGTAACAAATTCTTGTGGCCAGAACTTAGTAATGGCTGCGAGGACACGCCCGGCAGAATGTCGATGTAGGGAGCAAAGTCCCACTTGGCATGTTCCTTCCTGGAATTCTCTAGTGGATCTCCTCCAGCACTTCATATATTCTGCGAATTAACCCAGTTGTGTTATTGGTTCCTGTCGGTCAAGTCCCACAATAATGGGCAACCGCTTGGATTAGGCGTCCTTTTTCGTCTGCACTGACCTCCTTTAGACGTTTTTGGTGCTCTTCTTCCATTTTTAATTTTTAAATTTCCCACCGCTTTTGCACGAACACCGCCAAAGATTAAATTTCTTATTCTTTGGGCCGCGGCTAACGGCGTTCATCGAAAATTCACTCGCGAAATCTGGTATTCCCTTAGCTCATCTGAGTACCGCGCTGAAAAACGGACCCGACAATAAGCTTTAGCCGTCTCTCGCTCACACCTATGGTTAGCTCGCGGTTTTCATAGATGTGAGTACTAGGCTTTACTCAGATAGGCTAAGAGTTTCACTAGTCGAAAAAATCTTATTCGTTGTAGTGTGGTCAAAGTGTTCAAAGTTCACCCGCAATGCGTGTAGAATGGTCTCACTGTCAAACAGCTGGGCATGCTTTATTGACAAACGAAAAATTTAAGAATTTTAAAAAGATGAATCTGCTGTTACACAAATAAATGCAAATAAATGGAATGTTCAAAAAATGTTTTTGTTTATGTATACTAGTAGTTTAAAGGTATTTTCTCATCCCACGGAGGTTTCGCCATCTTCCCCGCGCCATCTGCAGTCCAGCTCCGAATCCCAATAGGCATATGGGATCGGGAGGAAGTGAGAGCCGGAGAGGGAACGGGATTGTTCCGCCTGATGCTGCAGGAAGTCGCCCAGCATCCTTGCAATGGCTCCTCCAGCTGTCCCTTAGCGGGCTCCTCCCTATAGAAGCCAGCGCGTCCTCCATCACCGCTTTACATGCCAAATAGCTGGTGGAGGTGGAGTCCTGTGGCTCCCCAATGGAGAGCTCGTCGGACAAATCCTTTTGGCCAGAACTAACTAACCGGCAGGATGTCCATGTAGGGAGCGAAGTCCCACTTTACATGCTCCTTCCCACTGGGATTCTCCAGCCGTTCAACTATTCTGCGGATTTGCCCTATTGTGCAATTGCTTCCTTTCCTGTGAAGTCCCACAATAATATGCAACAGCTTGAAATAGGCGTCCCTTTTCATCTGCGACCTCTTGCAGTCGTTTTATGGGTTTTCCTATCATTTTAAAATATTTGTTTTGCACGAACACCGCCAAAGATTAAATGTCTTAATCTTTGGGCCACTGCTAATGGCGTTCATCAAAATTCACTCGGTTGCGTTTGCGTGAAGGAATTCGTCTAAAAAGACAAGAACAATGGTCAACAACAACTTTTGGTTTTTGCATCACGATAATACACCGGCCCACATATCACCGGCCCACGGTCACTTCGTGGCCATTCCGCCAAAAATTCGACGCTTATCGTCCAGCAACCACAATACTTGACTTGCAGGGTATTGTGTTCTGACTATAATAGACTTTATCCTATTATCTCAAAA